GATAGATGGATGGATAGATGGATGGATAGATGGATGGATAGATAGATAGATAGATAGATGGATGGATGGATGGGTGGATAGATGGATGATAGGTAGATGGATGGATAGATGGATAGATAGATGATAGATAGATGGATGGAAGAATGGATGGATAGATGGATGGATAGATGATAGATAGATGGATGGATAGAGTAGATGATGGATGGATGGAGAGAGAGACAGACTGATTGATTGATTGATGGATGGATGGATTGATTGATGGATGGATGGATTGATTGATTACCATAATGTCAACGTTTGCCTTCTGTCTTGCATCTTCAGGAGTTACATGACTTGAACAAGTGGGGCCTTAATATCTTTCGTGTGGCCGAGTTCTCGAACAACAGACCCCTCAGCTGCATGATGTTTGCCATCTTCCAGGTGAGAGCCAGAGCTTGAGTCCACTTTCCGGTACATGAAACCATAATTGACAACACGCACTCACGACCTCGGTCCTCGTTGAACCTGTTTTCCGCAGGAGAGAGATCTTCTGAAGACTTTTCGGATTCCCATGGACACATTCATCACCTACGTAATGACCCTGGAGGACCATTACCACGCCAATGTGGCCTACCACAACAGCCTCCACGCTGCTGATGTCACTCAGTCGACTCACGTACTGCTCTCCACACCAGCTTTGGATGTAAGTGTGCCAAAGAAAAAGAAACACGGTGTGATGCGCAACCAATGCAATCAACGTTTAATCGTGATGATTTTTTTTTTTTTTCTTGTCCCACTTTGACAGGATGTGTTCACCGACCTAGAGATCCTAGCTGCTTTATTTGCCGCCGCCATTCATGATGTGGACCATCCAGGAGTATCCAACCAGTTTCTAATAAACACCAGTGAGTTGACATGCGAAAACACACAAATAAAATATATTGCGCCTTTTTTTTTTTTGTTGAGAGTCTTTGAATTTGAATTTGAATTTCTCGCCTCTCTTCAGACTCAGAGTTAGCCCTCATGTACAACGACGAGTCTGTGCTAGAGAACCATCACCTAGCTGTGGGCTTCAAGCTGCTTCACGAGGACAACTGTGACATCTTCCAGAACCTCAGCAAGCGGCAGCGACAAAGCCTGCGAAAACTTGTCATCGACATGGTGAGTGTTCTCGACGCTGCGTACGGAAGTCGACGAACACGTGAAGTGAACGAGTGAAGCGGCGTGGGCTGCTCCAAGTGCTCGGCCACCTAGCGTCGGCGTCTGTAAGCGTGCTCGTATCTCGAATCTTTACATCGTATCTCGAAGCTAAGATTTGCTGAAAGACTTGCTCGTAGCTCGAAATACTATGTTGAGACGCTAGTATCTCGGGTTTCCACTGTACGCTAACACTTTAGAAGAGTCCGATTTTGCCTGGGAGCCGTAATAAAGGGCAAAGAGATCCCATGAAAACAAGACTAACGAAAGAAAGCAAATGTCGCAAAATCTAACGTTTGGCGTTAAACCAGCAAATGTAAACAACGTTCCTTCCACGTATACACGATGACATATTCGTCCTTTAGCTCCATGTGAAATTTGTTTCAAATCCATATGTCGGAATGATGGAACAAAACTTCCGACATACTAAACTAAACATATGGGCGATTGCGACCGAACAATCAAACACCGTAGGTACAGGACTTCCTGTGAAAGGCTGTAGAGTTTTTTTGGTGTTGCTCCTGATCTGGATGGACGGCTATTTTTCTGTCTGTCTTCTGTCTTCTACTACATACGCTACAGCTATTTATTTTCTCATTTACCAATCCCCCCCCCCCCCAGGTTTTGGCAACAGATATGGCGAAACACATGAGTTTGCTGGCCGATCTCAAGACGATGGTGGAAACCAAGAAGGTGACAAGTTCTGGAGTGCTGCTGCTTGATCACTATACGGATCGTATACAGGTAGGATGTTTTTTTTATTTTTTTTTTACCATTATGATTTTGGTTATTTAACAATGTGATAAAGCATCGATCATTCATGGTAAGCCAGGGTGTTACAAAAAACAAAAATATGAAGGTAGAAGTCTAGGCCGTGGGTCTCAATCTCCTGGCCCGCAGGTCACTAAGATGTGGCCCAAAACTAGACACCACTATAATGTAATAATTGTGTAAAAATATATACAAAGTCAATCGGACATTTGTACTACAGAAAAGTAATTGGCAAACCGAAAAAAAAAAAATTAAAAAAACACTAAATCAAGTAGGTAAATATACTGGTAAATATACTGTATATTTATGTTTCCCGTTTCCCTGAATTGAATGCTGCGTTTGAATGTCATGTCATGTAAAGGTTATCTAAAGAGCATACGAGCCCACATAACTCCTCAGAACAGGTGACATTTGACAGTTTAGCATAAACATACAGTATCGGGGTTGAGTATGAAAAAACAATTGAATTCTTTGCTTTTTAAAAAAAAAAAAAAAACTTTGCATTACATATAAAATAACCTCCTGCAATTCCGATGTTATTCACATAACCATGAAAAACTATTTTCAACATCAGGGTTGAAGATTATCAGTGCATCCAACATTTTTCTGGACAGACATCTTCAGGGGCCAGATAAAATGGAACAAAAATAAAAAAAATTTGTCAAACATTATTATTATTATTATTATTATTATTATTATTATTATTATTATTATTATTATTGTTATTGTTGTTGTTGTTATTATTATTATTATCATTATTATTGTTGTTGTTATTATTATTGGATTATTATTATTATTATTATTGGATTATTATTACTATTATTGGATTATTATTAGATGTGGGCCGAACCAGTGCAATCAAAATTAATTAAATATGTACAAATATATTAGCTATTATTATCATTTATATTCAATGTAATATAATTTTACAAAAAAATATCCTGAATATGAAATGGTTGTGTATTTAGTTTATTTTCAAAACTCATCAAGCAGGCCGGATTGCACACCCTGGCGGGCTGGTTTTTGGCCTGCGGGCCATGAGTTTGACACTCTTGGCCTAAACACTTGTGTATCCTACTAGAGAAAGTACCTTGAAAGTACTTGCTGGGGAAGAGTAGTAGGGATAAGAATGTCTCCTTAACTCATACCCAGACATATAATGAATCATTTGAGAACTCGCTGCAAATGTTGTCATCAAGCTTTAAGTTTCTGGTGACATTTTCTTTTTAAATGAACTTTTGTTTTAATTTAGAAAAACATACAGAAACAAATGTGTGCTTCTTTACAGGTGTTGAGGAACATGGTGCACTGTGCCGACCTGAGCAATCCCACAAAACCCCTGGCTGTGTATCGACAGTGGACGGAGAGAATCATGGAAGAGTTCTTCAGGCAGGGCGATAAGGAGAGGGAGCGAGGGATGGAGATAAGTCCCATGTGTGACAAACACACTGCGTCCGTGGAGAAGAGTCAGGTAAATGATCTGCAGCGAAACGCATAGAGATACAGATACAGTACGTGCTGTACAACTCTGAAAAACGACTGAAGTAGAGGTGGAAACAGTACTACAAAAAAATGTAATTGGGTAAAAGTATTTTTACTTTTCTCAAATTCTACTCAAGTAAAAGTAAAATAATACTTAATTCAAAATGGACTTTGAGTAAAAGTTACTTAGTTATGTTAAAGCATTGTTTCTCAAAGACTGGGTCGTGACCCTTAAGTGGGTCGCCAGAAAAAAATTTGGGGGTCGTCTCGCATCATGTTTCCCAGGAGTACGCGGTCATTTTTTTAAATAGTGTATAATTAATTATAGCCCATGTATTTAATGTTAGCATTCTGTCCTGTCTTTCATTTTGTAGTTATTTTATTGACTACTTTGTTCCGATATTGCTGGTTCAATTACTGTTTTTTTTTGTTGTTTAAAATTTGAGTAATATTTTTTTATTTTTTATAATTGTTCAAATATCACTCGGTCAGTAATAAAATCTCCTCATTAATGTTCAGTAATGGTCAAGTACACCTTTATTTTGCGAGGTTTGTGACTTTGAAAATATGGGTCCCCAGAAAAAAAATGGCTGCATTAACATAGTTAGAAATCTGCGATTTTCCAAAGTAGCTAAGTAAAATACTTGAGTCAAAATGTAATTAAGTAAAATTGTCAAGTAAAATGACCCATTCCTGAAACTACTTTAAAAAAAATACAAATTACTCCAAACTACTTAGTGACAGTAATGTGAGTAAATGTGAGTAAGGATTGAAATAGAGATGTCAGAGGAAGTCATCTGTCACCTTTGACCCCAGCATACGTCCATTTGAGGCCAATTTTTTTTTTTTCCTTACACGCGCTCTCCTTTTCTCGCTTCAGGTGGGCTTCATCGACTACATCGTTCACCCCCTGTGGGAGACATGGGGTGACCTTGTGCACCCCGATGCTCAGGAGATCTTGGACACTCTGGAGGACAACAGGGACTGGTATCAGAGCACGATCCCGCAGAGTCCGTCGCCGCCTCCCGTGAGCCAGGACAAGGAACTAAAAGCCTGCACGGACAGGTTTCAATTCGAGCTCACCCTGGAAGAGAGTCATCCAAACGACGGGGACGACGGGGGCGACGCGGGCGACGCAAACCACGCGGCAGAGGAGGAGGAGAACAAGGAAGAGCAGGGAAGCAGCATGGCCGAGGAGGAAAACGAGGACGTGATAGAAGAGGAGGACGAGATCACAATGGACGAGGTGAAAGAGGAGCCAGAGGAGGAGGAGGAGGAGGAGGATGAGGAGGAGGAAGAAGGCGACGTCGAGGAGGACGAGGAAGAGGACGAGGAGCTCAGAGCCCAGCTTGAGGTGAGGTCTGAGAAGGAAAGACTTTCTGACACAAGTCCTGTAGAGGAAGAGGAGGAGGATTTTTCTTCTCAAGCTGATAATACATGAGTTTCGCTCTTGTATCTTGTATCCTCACTTGCACACATTTATTTGTTCATTCTTCAATGGCCAAACCGACAACAGATAAGACTGCAAATGACAATGTAGACCTTTAAATATATTTTCGAAAAAAGGGAACAATGCTCGAAATGCATTGGAGAGAAGTTCATTACACAGCAACTGTAGATTTGGAATGAGGGGAAGTTCGCAATCGACTTGTTTCGCGACGGACTCCAGGAGAAGAAAGGGGGGGTTTAGCGAAGCGCTACCGATGGTAA